CTATCTATCTATCTATCTATCTATCTATCTAAACAGAAAAAGCCGTGAACATCTTCACTCTCGAAAAATGAACATAAACAGCGTGTTGTTTATCACTTCACTCTACAACAGTTCGATAAGTATCTCCGCTGCTGTGCACAAGTAGTTTGTTTAATTTTATTTCAATTTCTAATGAGTTTAGTTACAGCTAATAACTCATTATGTTTTTTTACAGTCCTGACTTCAGTCTTGCTAACAAGGAATTAGTTCAAAAATCACTGACTAAATGCTAGCATTTCTAACATGACTAGCAGCTACAGCAGACTCATAACCAGCTTCCCTTATTTTATTTCACTCTTATGACGTAACACGTACGTTGTGTCTGGCCACACCCCCTTCTTTTCCCCCTTTAGATCTACGAACGATATTAACGTCAATCAGAGATAATTAGGGGCTGTGCTAGGACAATGGCGTATTAAACACGATCTCGCAAGCCTAGTGTGAAGATGTTTGCGGTGGAGATTATGAAGCCTTTCTGCTAATTCACGTGTGTAAGTGTGTTTGTTAAAGACCAAGCAATTTCAGCACTCACTCCATTCCTCGCTAACACAGACTCTGAGAACTCCATTACGGCGCTATGAGAAGGCGAAGGCGTCTCTTTCATTTCCTTCCTGTTTAATTATTGCCTAATGAATAACCTCCTGCTGAGACTCGATGCCATGTGCATCCTGAATGCCTGGTCAAGGTGACGTGCTGGACGCTTTTAGAAAATATTTCACGCAGGAAGATATCCCATCAGCCATGTTTATTTTACATATAGAAATATACTCCCTCTAAAAGATGGTCCCCGGAGGAGTGGTGGTTATGCCTCGGTGCTCTAACCGCTGCGGCCCGGGTTCGATTCCTGGCCAGGGAACCGACCCCCAGCCGCTGGGGTTAAATGAGTGCTGGTCTCAAGTGCAGATAAAATTGGGGAGGGTTGCGTCAGGAAGGGCAAAGACTGTGCCAAATCAAATACACGGCCCAATGATCCGCTGTGGCGACCCCTAACGGGAGCACCTGAAAGAAGAACAGCAACAACAACCTCTAAAAGACCTTTAATACAGTACTGATGTGTACAGATGTGCAGGAGTTTGGGTTTTGTCCTGATTGAAGGCTTTGCTACAGTCTTTTTGTTTCTAATTTCCACCAGAACAGCTACAGCATTTTCAATGTTATTTTAGCACTTCTGAATTTACAGAACTAGCGTAAATGCTAAAGTAGCACGTCTGCACTGCGTAAAATCATATCTTAGCAAATAAAATATGTCAATATTTATAACGCAAATTACCTAATATTTCTCTTTATTAGATTTGTGAACTAACATATAACCATTAAACCTATTTCTAGACAGATTTGCTCATTTCAAGCTCTAAATTTTCTTACTCTATTGGCAGATAATTTTGCTAATTTCAAGCATTCATTTCTGGAACAAAGCAAAATTATTGGCCAATAAAATAAGAAAATGTAGAGCTTGAAATGAGTAAATATTCTAGAAATAGGCTTAATGGATATAACTTTTGATTATAGTTTAAAAAAAATCTTTCTTATTTGTTTTATTTTAATGTTTTTTTTTTATTTCCTTTATGAATCTTTTTTATTTACTTAAATTTTATGCAATTTTATGATTGAAATTTGTTTTTAAGACTAATATAAATAACTGAGTTAATGCCCCTGGATAAGTGTATCATTTTAATAAAATTAAATTTTTATTTTCCAGGAAAGTCACATGAACTACAATTGTGGTTTAGGCCACGCCCACTTTGGGTTTAAATCCAAATACAGATAGAGTAACAGAGATTTGGAGCACAAAACCAGATACAGATACAGATAGTGATATTGTGTTTCACCGCTAAAAAAAATTAAATTAAATTAAAAAAAAAAAAAAGTAAACATACAGTAGATGGAAATAAAATAAATGCAAGCAGCAATTGCAGGGGTCCAAGCATTTTTAGAGCTCTAAGGGAACTAGAGAACTGAACAGTTGTGCATATTTATGTTTTATTTTAATGGAGACAAATGATGATTAATGAAAGAATATTGCATTAACAGGTTTACAAGCAAGTCAAAAAAATTGTCTGTATAAAATTCTGAATGTTTTCAAACATTAAAATAAAACATTTTGCTTCTGACATTCATCGAATTTCTCCACATTTATGGATGGACTTGAATATATCATCAGCACTCGACTTTCAGCTCTGACCCTTTAATGTGCTCATCATCATTTAGAGATCAGAGATTTCATGTACTTCACTGGACAGATGAAATAAGGGACTCTACTGGAAAAGGAAACGGTGTATAATGTGTTTGACCTGCAAAAAAAATGAGATCAAGTTCATTTGCAATGAAAAAAAAAGCAAATAAAAAACTGAGCAGTTCTGCTGTTCTGTGCAGTTAAGAAGCGTGAGCAACAAAAAGCGAGAGAAATCCACACAACAGTGGAACACAGTCACATTTCATTCACAGGAACAATTAGCAGATAAGTTAATTATATTCTGAGTGTTGGAGTCGGAGCTAACGGAAATAATTAAAATAATTAAAAATCCCAAAATAAAGCACTCACGGTTCAGAACTAAGTGGTGTTGTGTGTTTTAGCTCACAGCAGTGTAAAGTGTGTTTAAAAAAAAAAAAAAAAAAATGATTCGCATTATTTAAAATATGCTTTTTAAAATTTACAGACAACTTCAAAATTATTGGCAATAAATAAATAAATAAATAAATAAATAAATAAAAACAGATTGTATAAATACCATGGTTTTAAATCTGTCATTTTTATTGTTTTAGTAACTGCTCTGGTCACAAATTAAAATCAAAATAATAATTATTATTATTATAAAAATAGAAATAAATCAAGATTCAGTTGGAAATAATATGAACATATAACAATAATCATGTTAATGTTCATATTAAATCTTGAATCTTGATTTATTTCTCTTTTTATTTTTATAATAATAATTATTAGAAAAATATGATCATTATTATTATAAATTATTATTTTGATTTTACTTTGTGACCAGAGCAGTTACTAAAACAATAAAAATGACTGTGTGTTGTCTTGTTGTAGTAAAACAATCAAGAATGTCGTGGTGTGATGAAGTGGAGTCACTCTTCCTAACCTAAAGTTGATTACTTTCCTATAATATCATGTCCTGCAGTGTTTTATTCCTGACTGTTACAAAGCGCTGACACTGGAGACTCCTTCCATAAATGTTAAACATCTCTTCACTTTAAGAAAACTTCACCATAGCAACGATTACACACATTTTTGTGAATGAGCTGTTACTATAGAAACGATAACGTATCAGAATGAGGGCATTAATATAAACCTGCACTACTGTCAGAGCTGCTGTTATAGAAAACTAATCAACACCTTCTGACCAATCACAATCCAGAATACATCAGCGCTGAACACTGAAGCACCTTCTGCTTTTTGTGGTGTCTTTTTAAGCTAAGATAATGCTAGCCCTGAAGAGCTAGCATAACTGATAACTCCAGTGAGTGTGTTTACTTATTATTATGTTTTTTCAGTGTAATAAATATGCTTGCTGTAACGCTATTAATAAAAAATTTCCGAAGGAGCTGCAGAACTTTCATGGCTCTGATAACAACCAGCTTTTAAAAACAGAGTTATATTTAAGAGAGATTTAAAAACTATGTGAGATATAAACTACAATACTTGGTTCCATTTTATTAATAGGTTAATAATAATAACTAGCGCTATTAACTTCTGTTTGTTTGTTTGTTTGTTTGTTTGTTTGTTTGTTCGTGTATGATGCTGTATGATGACACTATACATAGCGTTCAGGCCAAAAGTTTACATACCCCAAGGCTAAAGACATTCAGACTCAATCTTTCACAGCTCTATGCATTTCATGTTACTTCCTGTGTTAAGTAAATTAGCGTATCTACGTTATTTCCATCAGAGGTCACTTCAAAATAAAACCTAAGAGACGGATTTATCTCAGCTTTTATTTACTGTATCAGACTTTCAGTGCATACACTTTGTTAGTATTTGTTTTCGTTGTATTTTAACTGTTTGAACTTGAATCAGATGCTTGTTGTAGCCTTCCAGAAGTTTCTCCTGATATTCTGCTGGAATTTTCTCTCGCTCCTCCTGGTGTAACTCGAGGTTTGAGGGCTTCCTCGCTTAGACACGCTTTCTCAGTCCAGTCCACTAATCTTCTGTGGATTCAGCTCAGGGCTTTGTGAAGGCCACTCCGACACTTTCACTTTGCTGTCTTTAAGCCATTTTAAGCCACTTTGGAGGTTCGTTTAGGATCGTTGTCCTGCTGAAGACACACTTACAACCAGGTTTGAACTTTGTGGCTGATGTTTTGAGGTGTTGCTTCAGTATTTCTAGATAATCCTCCTGCTTCATTGTGCCACGTGTTTTCTGAAGTGCACCAGTCCCTTTTCCAGCAAAACGTGATGCTGCCATCACCATGCTTCACAGTCGGGATGTTTTTCACCATGCTTCACAGTCGGGATGTTCTTCACCATGCTTCACAGTCGGGATGTTCTTCACCATGCTTCACAGTCGGGATGTTCTTCACCATGCTTCACAGTCGGGATGTTCTTCACCATGCTTCACAGTCGGGATGTTCTTCACCATGCTTCACAGATGGGATGATGTTCTTCAGATTAAAAGCCTCGCCCTTTTCCCTCCATACACAGCGCTGATCTTTATAGCCAGCCAGACAGAACACACCTCTAAAGGCCAAGTCTTCATCCTGGTGATCACCTTCACACTTCAGTCTGGTTTTTTTAATGCTGGTTTTGGAGTACAGGCTTCTTTCACACACTTTCAGCCCATGACAGTGTAGGATTCTCTTAATGATGGATGTACACACTTCGGTACCTGATGCCTCCTACTCCTTCTCCAGTTCCTTCGTTGTTGTCTTGGGGTTCAGTCTGAAACTTTTGGACCAGTGTTTGTTTATCCCTGCCTCTTTCCTGAATGATGCAGCATCTGTGTGCACCCAAGATTTTTATATTTATATACAATTGTTTTCTGCTCAGGTGTTTGAATATTGCTCCTTAAGGAGGAACTGGACTCCACAATTTTTTTGTTTGTTTGAATTTTCTCATGGTATGAAAGGTAAAAAGGCACTGGCTCTAAAGGCAGGCCCTTAAATACAGCACTCTCACTCTCACTTAACTCATAATTATGATAATCGGCCAAACGGAAGCTTTATATAAATTTCTGGAATCTTCCAGACTGTTGGTTGTGTATGTAAACCTCATCTGTACATGCTGTAAGCTAAATCTAATGCTAGCTATTATTCGCTATTCCAACCTCTCAGTGTTAGCAGTGTAACCACGCTCATGCTAGCATTTAAACTCTCTAATACAGCACTCTGATACAGATATCATGTGTGTGTGTGTGTGTGTGTGTGTGTGGGGCTGAAATGTAGGCTGGCCAAAAATATGTGCCCCTCGGCGGCGGTGTTGCAGAGGAGAGGTGAAGTTTTGAAGTGCGTGAGAAGCGGGACGTGTGTGTGTGTGTGTGTGTGTGAGAGTGAGTCATGTAGCCGAGACTGAACAGAGCGAAGCGGCGTCTCGGTGCCTTCCGGTCTCCCGAATCGAGAGCGAGAGCAGCCTGACCTCTCGCCACCCACACACTGACCTGTCTCAGGTACACAGCTCTGTTCTAACACACCACCGCCTGCTGAGAGCTCGCTTCTCTCTCTCTCTCTCTCTCTCTCTCCCCTGCCAGTGGTTTGGGGTTCCATCTCTTTGAGCTGATTTTCTGCATATTCCTGTATTTAAAAAAAAAATAGGTGGATGTGGTTTTTTTTCAACAAGAAAGGTGTAAAAGGTCACAGCGCTCCTCTCCTCCTCCTCCTCCTCCTCTTCCTGCTCTTTCTATTTCACATT